AAGTGGCTGAAAGAAGGGCACGTTCAACCTCCCCGCGACCTCCGCCACAGTACAGTGCACGAGCGGGGGGAAGCTACAGTTGCTTGCGAAAAGATGCTACAATGGGCATATGACGTCTTGGCGGAGCGTTTGAATAGTAGCGATGTGCGGCCAGCTAGTTATCTTGTTGATTACCTTGTCCCAGAACTTGCCACAAGAGTAGACGATGACACATCAGACCCATCTTTTTGCGCATTGCCAAATATGGATGGCTACCGCGAGTGGATCCACGGACCAGGCGCGACGTTGCCAGCTACAGCCGCTGACGCGGGCGAAGTGCGTTGGTTGCCTCCGATGGCACTGGTCGACCTGTACCATCTATTGTCGTCGCAAGACTTTGGCCTGCGCTCGCTTCCTAGCTACGTATCATTCACCCGGGTGTACAACGAGCGCTGGCATCAGTGCCTTCGCATTCGGCCAAAGATCCTTCAGTCCAAATGCGACACGTGCGAACGCCTCAAGGCCTTAAGGAAAGCAGCTACATCACCTGAGGCGGCAGAGGCGGTGCGAACAGAACACCTCGCCCACGTGAAGGAGACTTTCCTGGACCGGTCCGTCGACGAGCGCATCCAGAGCGCAGCTCGGGAGGCCACGTCGACTCCTGGTGGCGTGGCTCGCTCGCGATCTATCTTGAATTTAGACATCGACGCCATGGAGGCAATGAAGTTCAAGTGCCCGAGAAACATCTCGGCCGCCAAGACGATGGCGGCGTTGTGGAGGCCACAACAACATATGGTCGGCAGCATCGTCGACGGCATTGCAGACTACTACTGGCTGGTGCCACCCGACATTGTGAAAAATGCAAACCTGTCGGCCACGATCGTGGCTGATCTTCTGAAACACGCCGCAGGTGTTCTCGAGTCTCGCAGAGTTCCGATGCCGACGCATTTGCGCGTCCACTCGGACAATGCCGGAGGTGAAATCAAGAACCAAACGTTCATGAAGTTCCTGGCGTTCCTGTCGCACAAGGAGCACTTCGATTGCACGGAGATGACGCAGTTTCAACCTGGACATAGTCACGGCCGCATTGATCAAAATTTCAGCGTCGTGGGGACGGCGCTCAATAAGAGCCAGGCGTTGGAGACACCAAGTGATTTCAAGGCTCGCATAGAAACCACAGGTGGAGATGGAAAGCGACCCCTACGTGTTTCTGAGTTGGGCGCAGTGTACGATTGGAAATCGTTTTTCGATCCCCTTCGCGTCACCCCGCACAACCACGTGCAGACACACGCCATGACGTTGTAGAACTCGGAGGCGTGCCACGTGTTCAGATTTTTCCGCCGCGACCGCATGCGCAGTCTCCCCGGCGAGCTGAGCTCGGTCACAGCAGAGCCAAACTCTGTCTTCCCGGAGCCGCCTGCCGAGGACGACATCATCTTTGTCACTAAGCATTACGTCGGTTCCCAGACATATGCTCAAGTACCAGAAGTATTTTGCCCTGGATCCCGCATGCGAGCTCTTGACCCAGGAGGCCCAGGTGCTGCATCGGGGCGCGTGCAGTTTTCGGACCGCCAGGTCAAAGAGTTCAGGAAAACGGCTACGACGTTGGCTCAGGCACCGTGGAACATGCATCGCGCGAATGAGTGGCTCACTCACCTGGTAGAGAATAACATTGCGGGCTACGCTGAGGGTTGGGTGCCGCCCGTGATTGAGCATCTCGTGACGACGGCCACCAAGGAGCCCTTCGCCCCCCGCCATCCAGCGAGGGGGGCCCCTGCAGAGGCAGTACCTGTTCGGATGGAAGACGATGGCTCAAAGAGAAAGAAGATCCGCATTGCAGGTAAGAGCACCCCGGCCAGGGCATCCTCCTCCCAGCGGGATCGCAACGTGGCGTCTCCATCGATGGCGCAAGGACTCTCCGGCGCCCCGCTGGAGCAGGTCAGCGAGGCTGGGGCCCCACCGAACGTGATGGCCCCACCAGCGGCGCCGCAAGGGCTTCTCCCACCAAACGTGCTTCGCAGACCATCGGCGGCAGAACAAGCGCCTCGACTGATTTCAGAGAGAAGGAAACGAAATCTCCTCGCCATACCTGATGAACCGAGCATCGGTTGTTCTAAGTGCCGCCAAGCTGTTGGGGGCTGCAAAGAATGCCGCACTCGTAGGGATGATTGGCGTTTCGTGCATGGCATGTGATGCAGACATGTATGTGTCTGGCCTGGCAAGTGGGCTATGGATTGATGGCTCGCTCAACGGTTCTTCGCCACTCAACAAGGTGGGCATCAGCTCGCTAACAAAAAGCAATCTCCAGCATCATCTTCAGTCATCTATCATTTTGCCACCCTCATTACCCCAGGCATCTGAGCATTACCATCTTCATACAATCCCCTACATCCTGGCATGGCAATGCGCACCCTTATTCTCACAAAATGTTGCGCGCGGCAAAGCGCCTACAAAATCAGGACGAGACCCAACAATAACAATATGATTTGGGTACGTGGCTGAAGTGGGAGCGCAGGTGAGCCGCGTAGGTCGCGCCAAGGAGTGCCGACATGGATACCACCCACCTTTTGTATGAAGTGCGACCCCGGCCCGAGACCCTGGAAGGTATTGAGCGTGCCCTAGACAACGGCCTTCGGGGGCAGGAGGGGCCCACAATTTGCGGAGCGTTCCAAAGGAACGGCTTCAATGGGGGGAGAGAGTTAGCTATCTAGGGGGGCCGTCGCCAAATACATGATAACAAAAATTCATACAACTATCTGGAGACCTTCCTGGGGGGGGGCAAGACAGCCAGAGAAAGGAGCATGTTGAGAGCGGCCATCATGTCCCAAATAACTTCCGACTCCAGAGCTTCCAACATCTTGATCCCTACCCCCAGCCCCTTACCTCCATCCCCGTACCTCCATCCCCTTACCTCCACCCCCATACCTCATTGCGTTTTAAGGTGAGTGTGTAAGACATCGAGCAAGTGGGTCTGCACAGCGGTTCTGTCACTGTTTCCACAGCGTTGTCGTCAAGGATGCGGCGTCAGGCCAGCCCCGAACCAAGTGCACCACATTTGATTTCTGACTCTGGAGAATGTAGCGATGTGCAGCATGTGCTCAGTGACGCGCTACCTCCCAGGAGGGTTACTTGGGCAGAGGCCGTGTGTGATGAGTTGCAGCAGGCAGGGAAGCTGGAAAATCTGCATTGGACAATCACGTACGGAGATGACTGCAGCGGGGCCAGGGCCCCGATGGAAGCATTGCAGCAACTGCGGTCCACAATTCGCGCCCGGGGTGGTGGTACATTGGAGATAATTGACAAATTCGCCAGTGAGTGCCCAGGGAAAGAGGGGGACGGACCTCGCCAATTCATAGAGTCCCGCTACAGGCCAGAGATTATCTTCGAGACTGCGCACCGGGGAAGCGCCACGTGGGCAGAGAATTGGCGCTCCAAACAAATTGTGCGAATTCCTGGCGCGTTAGATGTGTACGTGGCCGGGTGGGTCTGCAGGGACGTGTCCACAATGAATCACCACCGCAATAAACCATTGCTTCCTGGCACGGACCCACGCGTAAGAGATGGCCGCGCTGGTGAAAGCAGTCAGACTCTGGAGTCTAGCATCGAATATATCAGGCTGCATCGGCCACTTATCGCGGTGCTAGAAAACGTTGTGAACAAACGCAGTATTGAAGTCGTCCAGATGGCATTCAAGAGGATTGGCGGCTACGCAGTCATCGTGTGCTTACTGGACAGCCGAACAATGGGCGTGTGCATGTCAAGGAGGAGGTTGTATGCAGTCGCTGTGAACACAAGGAGGCTGCAACTTGTTACGCCTATCGATCAATGGCCTCAGGAGATCATCAGAATTGCGCAGCGGATCACACCCATCCCTTTGGAAGCATCGCTGATGCCATCCACCACAAACGTTGTGCCATTGACTTGCCGCGAGAAGATGAATCCTCAATGGGCTGGCGTACATGCAGCCATCCGCAGTGCCTTGTCACTTCCAACCAGGGTTGAGTTGCTCAAGAAAACTGTGAGTCATTCTCCGACCGCATCATCACTGACACGTCGAATGCAAGATGTACTTGGTATGCATTGGGAGGTCGCAGTGCGCAATGGTATTTCTCCGAATGACCACCATTTCGTGTGGGACCTGACCAACTCGGTGAAGTTCTTCCCTTGCGCCAAAGACCGCCGGTCAGCAGGGATTGTACCATGTGTTTTGCGCGGGCACGTGCTCTGGGATACAAAGATGGGGCGGCAGCTGACAGGCGCAGAGCTGATGCGGGTACACGGCTTCTGGATGGAGACGGACGCGGAGCTGCCGGAGGCCACGTTGAAGAGCCTTGCTGGCGACACCATATCGGTGGCCCCAGTTGGCTGCATTTTGGCAGTCGCCTTAGCCAATACTGTGGCTGGCCGAAGCGGCCAGACGCCCGACGCGGGATCAGTGTGGATAGGGCCCTCGGCGCGACGAGGTTTGGACACCAGCCTGGATAATCTCATGAAGATGGCCACTGCGGCGACGAATGGTAAGCAGGCCGGCGAGAACCGCGAGAAACGGAAGCGCCACGTGAGATCAAGCCAGAGCACAAAGGCCAGTTGCTAGGCACAGCAAAAAAGGCGCGCCCATTTCTCTCATCAGCCCAGCGGTTTCATATCTATCAGGTGGGCATGGCTCGCTGATCGATCCATCGGGTGGGCATAGCTCGCCGTAGTAGCGTAGAAGCAAAACCCCAGTCTAGAATATCAACTTCACGCTGTCTGCGTAGTTGTATGGGTTCAAGCAAGCGCTTACATATGTCAAGATATTTCCGCGCGAGTGTTCTTACATGGCGAGTCCTGGGACACCCGTGGAAGCGCTTGTGGAAGCGATCCAGACGCGCATGCTGGAATCACAGTTGGTCCTTCCTTTACAAGAAGAGCGAGATAGAACCCGATCTCCTGCACGTCGCCCACAACCACGACCTGTCCAAGAAGCAAGGGCTGCCATCAGGAACCAAGTAAGTTTTTATCTTGGCTTGATTCAGGGGGCCATGCTAACCATGACCATGAGCTACGGGAACGATTTCTGCAGGACATTGTCAATGACCATTGACGAAATTCGCAGCGAGATGGACGGCAACTCACAGAATGACTGCCCCAATCAGAGCCCCCTCAACCCTGCCGCGCCCCCAGAGGCGCGCGACCTCTACAATAAAATGTTCAGGTTGGAGAAGAAGATTCTCGATCTCTGGCAGTCCATCGAGAGCGTCGACCACACGTTCAATGAGGTGAACGTGCTAGTCGGCCAGATGCTGCAGATGCAGGAGGATGCCCACTCGAGGATCCCGCGCCAGCGGGTTTGAAGCTATCTGCGGCCGCCCAGGCCCACCCATGATCCATATTGCTCTGTAAGCAGCTACAGCTTTCACTGCTGTTCACGTGTCGCTAGCACAGCTTGTGTTGTCGGTGGCCCCCAAACCCTATTGCACAGGTGCTTTCATATCGCCTCGTCGGTTCAGCCTTGGTCATCTCACAGGTGGGCATAGCTCGCCGTATTAGCGCGCAAGCAGATCATATTGCTCATCCTTCTCCTCCTTCTCCTCCTGCCTCATTCCTCCTCCTCCGCCTTCCCTGCTCCTGCCTCCTTCTCCATTATCATTCTTGATCGTGCGCGCCCTCTTCCTCAGCCTTCCCTGCCATCGCCAATTCCTCCCCACCCCCGCCCCGCCACAGCCCATTCGGCCCTAACTCGGGTGCACGATTTCTTACATCCGACTTCCGGCGAATTCAAACGAACCGGCCCGAACTCCTTATGTAAATCCCAAATGGCCCGAAGTCGGCCCTCCAAACCACATGTGTTTTGACAGCCGAGATCCGGAGATTTGTCGTTTGGGCCCGGAGATCCGGCGAATTCAAACGAACCGGCCCGAACTCGGTTGCACGATTTCTTACATCCGACTTCCGGCGAAATCAAACGACTTCGCCCGAACTCTCTGGGAGTCAGATCTGGCGTCCTGCCGCGCTCGGCGGCCAGTGTCCCATGTCGCTGCGCGCTTTCATGGTTCCCAAGGAGGAGCCGCCCGACAGCCCGCAGGCGAAGCAGGAGAGGGGGCAACTGTCCATGGAAGACTTCTCGGAGCCTTTGAGAGCTGCTGGAGGCCCAGCACAGTATATCATGCAGGAGTGCCCCGACGAAAGCACGGCCACCGCCATGGCTCAGCACCTGGACGCCCTCTTCGAAAAGGATCCAACTCTTAGCTACGGGACAAAGGAGTTGTTCTACAGCGCCGCAGGGGAGACGGAGCTCATCTTCAGGATCACAGACTTGGGCTTCTCAGACGAAGTAACTACCAAAGGCATGCCGCGGCTTCATACATCCTTGTCATTGGTAGACAGCATCCTCAACGGCGGATTTGTGACGATCAGCGACCCCATACTAGCGTGGCCAAATCCGAAGACTAAAGACAAGGCTCACTGGTGGCTATCGTACGTCAAGGGCCACGCCCGAGCATGCACCGCCATCGCCATGTGCATCATTCTTTACAAGAAGTTTGGTAACGTCGAGAAGCTTTTGGAAGCTGGAGGCCAAAGGTTGTTGGTATCTTTGAGAGCAGTCCGTGTTCGTTGCCATGATGTTGCTCCAGACCTGATGTCGGTTGCCTTCAAGAACGCACTTTTAGCCCACCGCGGAAGCATTCGCAAAGCTCATGATGTGCTCAGTTGGATCCAGAAGCTTGAGAAGGTGTCTGTGGCCACAGGCTGGTCTGAAGACGAAGTCTTGACCAAGTGGAACCAGGAGTGCCCTTCGGACGCCCGGGTGACTGGAGCCAAGAAGGTGTGCTGTCTCAACATCCTCAGGTCTGTCGACAAGGAAGGCCGTACTCTCCTCCTGGACCACGCGTCGAAATACGGTGAGAACAGCGCATTCCAAGATGATGCGTTCTCGTCCAAGAAGATACTTGCAGGGTACAAGCCGCGCATTGGGTCAGTGAAGTGGACCCGGCTGCTGACTGTCACGCACGAGTCGTTCAGGGTCATGATGATCGCCGTCATCAGTAGACACGAAGCAGCGCCAGAGGCAGCACGCACCAAAATCTCAAAGGCCAACCTTGAGAAGATCAGCGAGTTGTCAGCGTTGGCACATGCCATCATTATGGACGCCATCGCCCAATACCCGCAGATTCCACATTCCGACCTCTCCGATGGGTTCCTCACGCCCTTTGCGGAGGGCGACCCCAACACCACCTTATCGCTTGAGACTGCCATCATGCAGAAGGAGGCCAACTTTGGCGTCACAGATATTCCCGAGCTCAAGGAGTTGATCATATCGCTAACCGCTGGCGCACCTGGCGGTGATCCGCCAAAGGCTGTGGCGTTGAAGGTGGAATCGACTGAGCTTGAGAAGCAAGAGTTTGAGCTGTTCAAGAATCGTGTCCGCCACGATGTCAGCGTGGCCAGCGCCTACATCGGCAAAACTCGCGATCGCGAGACGGCCATGTACTACAAGACAGTGCAGCACCGTGTCTGGCGAGCCCAGGAGGCCGAGTCTGCGGCACAGTCGTTGTTTGACCCCTCTCACGTGAATTGCAAGATCACCCTTGTCACGTCGGCAGAGCAAAAAGCTGTGACAAAGGCGGTTGGGCGAGTGAAAGAGCAATTAGCCAAGAACGCCCTGACGTCGAACACCTCTATCAACACGTTTGTGCACATCAATTGGACGGCGATGTCGCTATTCAATGCGAAGACGACCAAGGCACAGCACTTTTTGTTGGGTGAGTTCGTTCGCTCCGACGGCCCGGCAATCGGGATGGTGCTTCTCCCAACATTCACCTACAAGAAGGGCTTCCTTTACAAGGCGGAAGCAGAAGCGCAATCAAGCATCGGCCAGCACGGCCTCTTCATTGACAGATCTATATGCTTGCACTTTACTGAGAAACCAGAGGAGCGTTCAGAACGGCCACTCATGATCAAGGGGGCCTTGGTATTTGCTGACGACGACTCCAACCGCATCAAAGCGTGGAAAGGCATTCCAGCATTCAAGGATTCAGTCATTGCATGCGGCGCGCAGCTCCGCACCAAGGATATGGTCACTGTGGAAGATACCGCGATGGAGGCGTTGCCTGCGACAATCGAGACGGACACGCACGCCAGCCAAGGAGAGAAACATCACCAGCTTGGCGTGCCAGCTTACCACCGCGTGCTCAACGCAATGCTTTCAGGTCTCCCAGGTGATCAACGGGGGGCGACGATGGTGATCGACTTGTCCTTGCACACTGCTGACATGCTGAAGGCGTTCATCACGTTCAGCGAGACTTTCGGGCAGCAAGTGGCATACGTCGGCATGTGCGCAGACGAGATCTCCGTCGACTTCTGCAAGGCTGAGGGTACTCATTACACCAAGCAACGCATCTTAGCAGGCGACATGAAGGTACCCCACTTCAATGTTCCGCCAGCTGAGGTGCCGTCTGATAGCCAGTCGCCAGAGATTGCCAAGCCGCAGCTCGTTGCCATGCGCTGGACCGGCGACCGCCCGACGATTGCCGAAGTCGACTTGCAGAAATGGAGCGGACGCGAGGTCTTTGCAGAGCAGTTTTCAGACATGGTGGCGACGCTTGAGTTTGAAACTGGGTTCGACCTCGTAAAGGGCAAGGACAAGGACAAGGGGGAAACAGACAAGGGTGACAAGGCAGCTTCGCCTGGCAAGACAGGTGCCGACCCAGCGGAGCGCCCAGCAAAGGTCGCTCGGACGACAGAGCCTGATACGTTCATCGACGAATCGACCATCGCTACTCAGATCACCCACGACGTCCCGCTCACTTCCATCAATGGGAAGACGGGGAAGCTCTATCTACGCGTGTGCGTGAACAACGAGATGTACATCGTCAACAAGGGCACAGAGGCAGCAAAGGTGTCGCAAGGCGCCATGCTGGCTGGTTTCTCAAAAGGGAAGTGGACGAATGACATGCTTGAGGACAAGCCCGAGAAGTACATCAAGTTCGAGTTGGCCGATTGCGACAGTCTTGTCGTCTTCAACGCTCGGATGTGTCGCGTCGGGGCGCTTGTGAATGAGAAGCGTTTGACAGAAAGTGCAGATGAGACGAGAGCGTGCTACCACAGCCTCGTGGAGAGCCCGACGGACGACGACCACACAGCCTTCAAGCTCAACGTCTCGCAGACAATATACTATCGCTTGGCCGACGTGGCCGTCAAGGAGGAGGACAACGCTAAAGCTCCTTCTCAGAACAACGTGGGCGGGACCATGCCGGCAACAGCGTGGGACACCAAGAACACAGGCATATGTTGGGTCATGCAGTGGCGCAAGAGGAAGGGCTTGCAACCCGCTCGCCCGCAGGTGTGCTGGAAGGCAAGCGACATCGACATCTTGCCTGGCAAGGCGTTGAAGCTCATCCAGTGAGCTGGGCAAGCGGGCAGGGCGCCCCAGATTTTGATGGAGCGCGAGTGGCTACTCGCGCTAGCTCTCGATGAACAGGTGGGCTGAGCTAGCTCACCGCACGGCGTCTTTGATATTTTGGACAGGTGGGCACAGCTCGCCCGTTAGCGCGAATGCAATCATACCTCCTCCTCCCCCTTCCTTCCAGCCATCCTTATCATAGTGTTTCGCCTCCCTTGAAATCCACGAGGAGATCCAATATGCGGGGCCAAGTTCTAATTTCTCAAAATGTTTCAACCCTCATTTCTGTGCCACCCCGTTGCCCTCCTCTGAGCCTTCAGCATCATCACCATATTGATAGCTATATTGATATCATCTAGGTGGGTTATCAGCTCGCCCCATCGTCTGAATTAGCATCATCATGGTTGCCGAGTTGGGCGCTCACCCAGGTCTCCTCCGCGGGTTGGCGTCGCTAGCAAGTCTCTGCCAAGATATCCTCCCGGTCCTCGTGAGCCTTCCTTGGGCTTCCTTCCCGTGAAACCGAAATCTGGTTTAGTTCAAAGGTGGGTCCTCATTGACAGCTCGTGGGCCCAATGGACTCCAAGAAGGCATTCCAAAGTCCGGAATGTTTGAACCGATTTTTCTGGACTTCGGCGCGCCCTCCAGAAGAACCCATCGAGGCCTTCTTGGAGCCCTCTTGGGACCTGGGCTCATGGCCCCGCGAAGGCAAGGGGCCCATTGGGCCACGGGGCTCGCCAAGTGACACCATCAGTGTGAAGTCAGCGCACCTTGATCGCAAATTGATGGCCATTTTCTCAGGGCTCCAAGGGGCGGCGGGCGATCCAGCGCCCGAGCGGCGGCTGCGGAACGCAGCAATGGGAATGGTGGAGGAAGTGGGCCAATGCGATGAGTTCTGGCTCCATGGCATCAAGGAACCCTCTGGGCTCTACCTTATCACTGGCCAGCAGCACCACGGCAAGCCGATGTGGCAGCGTAAGGATGGCGGGTACCAGATCATGTTTTGGGATGATCGCAACGGCCCGTTCACCGGCTGGTGGGTTCTGAAGTCCGACGATTACGACTGGGCGTTCGCGCGCCACGAGAACGTCGCAGCTGCCACGCCGCCAACCTACGGCTGGTTCGCGCCATTTCATGACACCACCAGCATCAACGACAACGTGTACCTTGTCCCGGCGTCGCAGAAGGTGAAGCAGCAGGCGAAGCCAGAAGGTGAAGCAGCAGGCGACGCTGAACTTGGCAAGGTTGCCAAGGCTTGGAAGAACGTCGAAGAGTTACGTCAGGCTGCTCTGGGGAAGCGCGAGCTGGACGGACACGAAGGCGAAGTGGCAGCAGCAGATGACAAGGCTGCCGAGGCGTCAGGCTCAGGCTCAGGCGACATGGCCTGGCTGGTGCAGGAGGTGATGCACGCCAACGAGCGCATGGACGCGTTCGATGGGCGCATCGAGGCGCTGCAGAGGGACATCGAGGATATCAAGGAGGCCTTGGGACCAGAGTTCATCAAGCGCCAGAGGCTGCAGCAGCATCAGAACGAGAAGAAGAAGCAGCTGACGCCGCCGCCGCTCTACATGGTGCGCTATACGATGCGCTCGGACGGCCGCACCAGGACAAGCAGGGCCCTGGTGCACCCCTGACCGTCGCGCCACGGCGAACTGGAGGCCAGGTGGCCACCAGAAAAGTATCAGCGTGATCATCGTCAGCATCATCATCGCTAAGTGGGCATCCTGCTCGCTAGCATCGTCATCGTCAGCATATCCTCCTCCTCCTCCTCCTCCTCGTCCTCCTCCTTCTCAACCTCATCCTCCTCCTCCTCCTCCTCCTCCTGCTCCTCCTCCTCAGGCGCAAAACCACTAGGGGGCACAGGCGTGAAACCACTAGGGGGGCAGGCGTGAAACCACTAGGGGGGACAGGCGTGGAACCACTAGAACCTGGAGGAGGACGAACTCCCGCAGACGCCGCAGAGCGCATGGGGCCCACGCCGGGCCGCGGGACGCGAAATCTGGCGGGGCAAACTCTTTGGGAAACCCCGGGAAGCAAAATCTGGCGGGGCAAATCCTGTAGGAAGGTCAGCCCAGTAGACACCCCACGGGATCACGGCGAGGAAGAGGGGGGAAGCAAATCTGGCGGGGCAAACTCTCTAGGAAACCTCGGGAAGCAAAATCTGGCGGGGCAAATTCTGTAGGTAGGTCAGCCCAGTAGAAGACCTCTCGAGGACCCTCCCACCCCCTCTTGGGCCCCTCTTGGAGCTCCAAAAAGGCCGCCAGAGAGCTCCAAGACGGCTCCAAACAGGCTCCAAGAGGGGCGCGCGAGGTCTCATCGAACCGCCGTGTTCGATGAGACCTGGCGCGCTCCTCTTGGAGCCCTCTTGGGGCCTTCGTGGCCCCCTCCCAAGACCTCTCGAGGGCCCTCCCACCCGATGCTGGCCCCCTCTTGGACCCCTCTTGGAGCTCCAAAAAGGCCGCCAGAGAGCTCCAAGACGGCTCCAAACAGGCTCCAAGAGGGGCGCGCGAGGTCTCATCGAACCGCCGTGTTCGATGAGACCTGGCGCGCTCCTCTTGGAGCCCTCTTGGGGCCCTCGCGGCCCCCTCCCAAGAATTCTCGAGGGCCCTCCCACCCGATGCTGGCCCCCTCTTGGACCCCTCTTGGAGCTCCAAAAAGGCCACAGGGGGAAGAGGAGGAGGAGGAGGAGGAGGAGGAGGAGGAGAAGGAGGAGGAGGAGGAGGAGGAGGAGGGGAGGAGGGGGAGGAGCGGGGCGGGAGGGGGGGCGCGCTTACTGCCTGCTCCTAGCAGCAAGCTATGCTGTGCTATGGTATGCGTCGTTTGCCGTTACTACTAATGCTGCTTTCCTGAGGGCTCCAACTCCTAGGTAGGGTCGCGCTAGGATAACTTTAGGGTTGGTGCTGATACGCAAAGCGTCAATAATGAAAATAAACCATCGCACCCGTGTTGATGATAGTTTGAATGGAGCGAGCTGACAGCCCACCAAAGTGACCCACCTAGATAACAGCGAGCTGAACGCCCACCAATGTAGCAATGATGCGCCTAGATCAACGCGCTAGTGTAAAAACCGAATGGGTCGAAACAAAAACCGATTGTCGTGAAACTTCCTTTGAGGATGTCTCAGGCGAGGGCGCCGGTTTGGGATTCGTCACCGGATCCAGCGGATCCAGCGGATCCGTCCGGAAACGGTGCCGGAGGCCGCTCTGGGCTCCTCTGGGCATCCCCCCCGGGGCCCGTTTTGTGAGGATGTCTCAGGCGAGGGCGCCGGTTTGGGATTCGTCACCGGATCCAGCGGATCCAGCGGATCCGTCCGGAAACGGTGCCGGAGGCCGCTCTGGGCTCGTGCTCTTCGCGCCGGGGGTGAGGATGACGTGAGTTCCACAGAAACTTCCTCAAACTAGCGGGCTGGCCCGCGCTGCGGAAATCCATTCCACTTTTCCAATCTGTATGAATCTTAGTCACTTCTCTGAACTGGCTGGCGGCAAGGTACGCTAGAAACTCCGCCGCAGGGGAAGTGGGCGGGAGGGCACAGCCTACTGGCCCACAAAGGTAGGCCTCAACTTCTCCGTGGGCATCACATTGCACCGTAGCCCATCCTGGGGCGTGGAACCACGGGTGGCCGTCCTTGGCAACACTGCCGTCAACATAAACCTCGCCAACCAAGGCTTCCGTAGGCGAAAGGCGGCTTCGGGACCAAAACTGGGCCTCGGCAAGGCCAAGACCAATGGACCTCGGGACCGTAAAGGGCGGAAGCTCCCGACAACCAACACACAAAGCACAGGCCTGGGGGTCTTTCAGGTCTTCAAGGTCACCTTCAGCAAGGTATTCTTCTCGAAGCTCAACACTACTGGGGCACTCCAAGAGCCTGTGGTATATGTAGTCTGATGGGGCCCCACAAATACAAGTCTTGTCCGTGTCGTAGCCCGCATCCTTGAGTCTACATTTGGTCAACATTGATTGGGTCAGGCACGACACGAGGAGGCCACGATCTTGTTTGTTAAGTCGTTTGTCGGCGAGAGGTCCTGTAGCATGAGTCATGTCAACCGCAGGCGCTCCCATCTTTCCTGCCACAGTCTCGGCCTGCTGCTCCTGCCAAGACGCCTCGAGCATGCGACGCATGAGGGCTGGCGGGTAGACCTCGCCTTCCCTGCGCATGTACTCCATGGGACTGATCCATGACCAGCCAGCTCTGGGTAAACTTAAATAGACAGCACCTAGGGAAACTCTGATATTTCCCCATCCCGAATGTGGCTTTTCCAGAATGTTTGCGGCAAGTTGTCTAAGTTCGGGAAGCCTGAACTCGGATTTCCTTGGATCTTGATCAGCCCTGACAAATATCATACTCCAATCAATGCACGGTCGCACAGCTGATTTCCAGGTGGGGTCTTCAAGAACAGCAAGCGACAGGGCACGCGACCGAGTAGCACAGGTGGGCCGGAGGAAATGGATGAGGAGGAGTAGGATGAGGAGTAGGATGAGGAGGCGGAGGAGGGGGAGGACGGGTCGCCTTAGCCCTTCGGAGAAACCCTCCACTTCGGGGAGGCGGACAGGACGAGAGACTTTGCTGCTGGATGAATATAGTTTGACCGATCGCCATTCCCAGCGGCGTGGCCTGGGCCCCACTGGCCGGTTTACCCCCCTAGATGGGGATATAGGTCGTTCCCTTCGGGTTTCGAAGGGTGTATCCCCAACTGGGTGGGTCATTTGGTGGGGGTCTCGCAGGGGATGGGGATGGGGATGGGGATTGGTGAAACGATACTGAGTGGAGGGAGAAGATGGGAGCAGACGGCAGGAACCACCCGTAGGGCGAACAGCCCGGCAGCTACTGACGCTGCGCGGGCCACGGCCGCGCCGACGACCACCGCGGGCGAAACAGCGGGCTGGGGGAGAGGAGGAGGACAGGAAGCAGGAGGAAGGCAACAGCCTCGATGCCCGTGTTCGTCCAACGAGACAGGGCAAAGGACAAGGGTCGAGAGCTCCTCCTCCTCCTCCTCCTCCTCCTCCTC